AATTAGGCCCGTTGGTGAGGATGTTTGGGGAAGGCAGAGGGATCCTCCCAAAACTACCAAGGAGCAGATGTTTCAAGTAACAAAGTACAAATACTTTGTTATTATACTTAAGTACACTTTTTAGGTATCCATACTTTACTCCATTACTTATTTTTCTTCCTACTTCTGACATTTATTTCCCGTCATTGGCTCCATCCATTGCAGATAATTGGCTCCATCCATCCTAGTGAAAACTAGTGTAACTGGATGAGTCATAGAACGCAAACACTCATTGGTTAGCTAAAGGAAATCATCAGAAGCAAGCAGGTGTTCTTCAAACTGCTAACGTGAATTGTCTATGCCATGCTACGATGTTGGATTCAGAAAAAGATGCTGAAATGTCCGAAAGGTCGGACACAGGCGAGAGCGTATCGGGAGATGGAGACCAACAAGACCTCCATCATCCTTGGCCCTATCTCAAAGAATTTTTAGAAATAGTCGAAAAGTTGAGCTTTCAATTCATATAGCGGCATCTGGCTGTTTTGTTTAAAGGTTACTTTATACTTTTATACTTTAAGTAGTTTTTGGAGCACATACTTTTTCACTTTTACTTGAGTAAAGAGGTCAATTTGATACTTAAACTGCAGTATCTATACTTCTACTTAAGTAACAAAAAGTACACACAAACGTGTGTTCCTTTGACACCGCTGCCAAGGAGGCGCGTGTGATGGAAGGCGTTTGGGAAATCAGTGAAGTGAAAGAACAAGACAAAGATGAAGGCAAAATTTAGGTCAATAAAACAAAGCCTCACTTAGAACATGGAGGTGGAAGCATCATGGGAAATGTACCATCCAAGGAGGAAGACCTGGTTTCCTCAACCCTGAGCATTGAAGGTGGAACGAGCTGCTACTCTGGTAGCGTATGTCCGCCTTTTAGAGGGTTTTATGTAGAGGATAAGGCTCTAAAGAAAACCCAAGTATAAATAGGAAATATCTTTACTACGAACATTTTCAAGACTTTTCTTGATATTCTTTCCAATTTTAAAATCAGTTTACCTTAAATATTGCATCATCTTCTTTATGAACAATCGTTACAGCGACAGTGAACCCCTGACTGCTTTTAACACACAAGGTTTTAAGAAAGGTTACCAAATTAAGAAATATATCTCAGGAGATGATCTTTTTTTTTTTTTTTTTTTTCCACAATTTATTTTAACAAAATGATAAAATAAATAAATACAAATTGATCAAATGCTCCTAATATCAACTCCTCCCCATGTTCCCTACAGTATTTCCTAAACACTGCATACAAAGAATTTATCACAGAAGAGGCTCAATACAGAGGTAAGAATCCCACCAGACCAGTCACAATGTCAGGCCAACAGAAGACACATCTGGAACAGAAGTCAAAAAAATAAACACATTCCTTTCCAAAATCATTATGAAAAAATACAAACAATTATACAAATATTCAGATTGTGTAATAACCAATTTACACGTTATTCAGCACACCAGGTGAACTTTTTCTTTATTCTGATCGCTACAATGCATCTCACCGAATGGAAGATAGAAAAAGACTTTTCATTTTTTAGATATTTTTTTATGTTGTTTTTTTTCCAGATTTTTTTGCACTCAACACACCCTTGAGGGACTCAGCTGTGGATGAGGTAAGATGCTGCGGGTGTAGAGGATCCAGACAGGATGAGCAGGTGGATGGATGAATGCTGAGCAGGAACAACAGGTGAATGATGTCATGAACCCATAGAATACTAGAAGGCCACAATCATGACTTGATCGCTTTAAAAACCAAAAGATGAGAAGCAAACCGCCTCCCAGGACCCACACAGAAGCCCGGAGCGGCGTCCCGAAAGCGCGAAAAACCGTCTGTGGACGACGCAGAAAACTCGCGCCCTGATGATATGCAGAGTTCTTTGGATATATTTGTTTCCAGACTTCATTAAGGAACATTTTGGGCCCCACCCCGACGTCCACGCAAGAAATAAAAGCTAAGCTAGAAGGAGCTGAAACCACAGAGAAACACCCGCTCCAGTCTGTCCTAGTGGCCACTCGCAGTACTGCAACACAAATCAAAAAAACGTTTAGAAAATAATAAAAATTTGCAGGAGTTCGGATGTCTTTCCGTTCCTCTGACCACAGAGGCTCCATGTCTGGAACACTCTGCCCAAATGTTTCCCCTGAATGGCTACCTGAATGTGTAAACGAATGTTCAGAAGAAAAGGTGACTTAAGTTTCACATAATAAAAACAAAAACAAACTGAAACAATGCATAATAAAAAGGTCGGTATAAAAACTTGCATAAGAAGGCATGTTCTGACCCGCAGCGTGCATGGGTACTCGCTGGGCCAAGGTTTGTTCGTCTGACACGCTCTCAGGCTCCGGCTCATGTGACCTCATCCCTCCTCCAAAATAAGAGACAGGAAGAAAGAAAGGGGGCTTTCAAAATAAAACCAAAACGACGCTCTGCTCTGATAATACTGATCAAACTAAAAGTGCACAACAAACGGATCAGAGTGAGATCTCACCCCCCGAACCGAGATCTAAACGTTCCACCAGAAAATTAAAAACACATTAAGGCAACTTCTAGGATGTGGACGAACACTGGCTGAATCAGACGGGTTCATGAAAGATGTGGGTGAGCTTGCATCGGCTCCTGGGAGCCGGTCGGGTCGGGTCCAGGCGAGGCGGTGCGGCTCGATGTCAGACGGCTTCGTTAGGGTCTACAAGTCACAGTGCAAGTCAAGAGACAAATATTATCTGCTGTTTGAAGAAAGGCACTCGAGAGGTACCTACTGTACAGAGGGAAGGATCCGGAGACCTGATGACCGATCGGAACCAGAACCACATCCACCCAACAGAACAGCACAGAGCAGAATAAGCGGGATCCGGAAGGAGGCGGGGACGCTTGGTTTCCTGTCTGGCTCATTCCGGGCAGACCCTCACGTCTGGGACGTCTGGAATGAAAGCAGTCTGAGCAGCAGGTGGAGTTTCACCCGCAGGAGTCAGCGTGATATAAAACCAAGTTCAAAGCCCGGAACGACCGCCTCAGCGAAGAAACATTTTGATTTCAGCAGAGCTCCCAGACCGCTTTATCTCTGCAGGGCTGTAACGCCACGCCGCAGAGCGACACCTCTGATGTTTCAGCCTGGAAACATTGCTGTCTGATAAACGCGATAAAAGCATCAAAAGGTTGAAACCGTTTCCTCAGAGCCAAGAAGAGGCTGAACCCAACATCAGAAACCCGCAGAAGAAATAAAGCCTCCAGCAGAAGCGACATCCATCGACCGCCTCTGGGTTCTGGTACCAGCTCAGGCCGGACCCACTGACGGGGGAATATTGGCAATGTGGGACAAGTCACATGAAAACAAGGAGATGCATACTCGGTTAAACTCCACGGGAACAAGGTACAAAAAGCTCCGCAGCGCAACTCTTTGTAATGCAGCAAGCTTGTGCTTTAATCTCAGGAATTGTGTTGTCGTCCTTTAACCTCCAACAGATCCCTCCATTTTCCCGGACGGGAACGCCTCCCGCCGTGGTCGTCGTTCCCGAAACGCTCTCCTGTCCCGACCGGGGACTCGGCGTCCGGGTCCTGAAGGACAGTGAGAGGACGAGTCCCTGCTGAAAGTGGAAACATCAGGATTTTGGCAGTTCAGGATTCAAACGCTCATCACCCCGGGGAGGAGGAGGTGGTGATGATGACGATGGTGATGATGATGCCAGTCCAGCAGGTTCAGGAACAGAAAGCACTTATTCTGGAGACTAGGAAGACCTGAATATCTTTTCCTATAAAAAAAACAAACAGCCCAGATAGAGTTTTGTGTGTGTTGACGTTGCAATATTGCAAATTCACATTTAGTGCTCACAGTTGACGCACGCTCACGCACACACACACACACACACACGACTCACGAATGAAAACTCAATCACTACACGGACCGACACCACTGAGAACGTCTGTTAGGCCCGTCCCACCTCGTTCCAGAACCTGAGCACCAAAATCGCCCAGGAGCCACCAGGGAACAACGATCCAGCATCCAGAGCGCCCAGCTTCACTGGGGGACAGGTTGGTGTTTGAACCCTTAAAGGCTTCCGTAGGAATGGACGAGAGAGAAAACAGTCATGGGGCGTTTCTCAATTCACGAGCACACGAGAAAGCTCAAGAACGCATATTGAGAAACGCCCCTGGATCTATAGCGGACCTCCCTTTAAGAGACTGATCCGGTGATGTTTGGGAGCAAACATGGTTTAGGATGAACCTTCTCTAGACGAATCAGAAGGTTCCAGCTTCCAGCCCCCTCTGGCTCAATGTCTGGAACCGGACGTAGACTCTGAGTGCGTCAGCTCTACACTCTGGGTCCCTGAGCAAGACCCTAAACCTTAATGCAGAGAATAAATTTCCCCATTGTGGGACAATAAAGGATTTACATTTACAGTAAAAGGTAATCAATTCGTCTAACCTTATTTCAACATATTCCTGATCATCAGCAACATCTATCTCCAATAGATCTATGTAAGGCTGGCAGCTTAGATGAAGCGAATTCATAATTTAAATAGAAAAATATGTAAAATAGCCAACCTAAACTTTTATCCAATTAAATTTGAACCAGGAAGTGGGCGGGGTCTGATCAGGCCAGTGGACCAATCGGAGCAGACTCCGGGGGCAGGGGGTGCTGGTTACCGGTTTGATGCGGACTCTGGAACGTTGTTCCCGTCGGGTTTAACGGAACCGCAGCAGACGGGTTCTCTTCAGAACACAAACGTTTACAACACTGCTTCTTGGACCAGCTCCCCTGATGTATGTTTGGTTCCACGTTCTGGGTTCCTACTCAGAGTCGTCAACAGAACACAGGGGCCACTGTAACAGGCACACACCGGTGTGATGATGAAGAAACTCTTCGTCCGAGCGTCCTCGCCGTGACGTCTATCGCTAATTGGCTGATGACCCGGGTCTTCCCAGAGTCACAAGACTTGGGCTGTACATCTACCATTGACACAGTCTGACAATACGATGCAAACAAACAACATTTATACAGATTGGCAACTTCAGGGCACCCTGTGGTGCAAGCAAAAGTCTTTTTTTTTTAATATATATGTTTGACTTCCCGTCGCCACGGAGACGCAGCGTTACTTTTTATCGTCCAAACTGCTGAGCAGAGCTGGCAAAGAATGCTGGGAGGGTTCTGAGGTTTTGCTGTTGTTGCTGCCGCCGTCGCCGAGCTCCTCCTGGTTCTTCTCTGCCGCCGTCTCCGCAGGGTTCGCGGCGGCCATCTTGTTCTCTGCTGCTGCGGCGGGGCTGTGGGCGGGGCACGGCGGCTCTGTCGTACCATTGGTGGTTGCGGCGGCAGCCGGAGCCACAGGAGCCGTCTCAGTCTCAGGCTTGAGCTGACCCTCCAAACGAGGAGCGGTCTCTGTGTGGGCCCCGGGCCCCTTGGCAGCCCCCTCCACAGCGACGGGGCAGTTAGTCAGGACTGTGCTCTTGCCTCCTCCTGATGATGACGACGATGCTGCTCCTTCTGGCTTCTGCTCCTCCTTCTTGCCGCTGACCAAAGAAACGCTCACTGCCTGCTTCTCCACCGAGCCGACCTCGGCTGCAGCCTGAGCTCCGCCCTGAACCCGGACATCCTTCCCCTCCGTCTCTGCCAGCGCCTGGTTAAAGTTGAAGGCTTGGATGAGGCGAATCAGATGCTTGACATTGTCCAGGGAAAGCTGCATCTCCTTCTGACGAGCCAGGATGCTGTTTTTGGTCTCCATGCATTTCTGCAGAAAGGAGATTTCACACATCAGGATATGATAAGATGTACTTTCACTGCCTCTAACACAGATAATGTCCAGTAAGGACAACGTGTCGATGCTCCTGGGAGCCGACGCCTCAGCATAGTCACCGCATCCACAGGAGGGAAATATGCAGCAGCTCCATCTCAGACTCTCTGGCCTCCAGTCTAAATGCTTAAGCTTATTCATGAATTTAAGTAGCTCTATCCAGTACATGATCTTTGTTTTTGAGTATTTAGGTTTCACTAATATCTAATTACATAGCTGATTACAAATGATGAAGAAGCTGCAACTAAACGGGGAAATCAAGAAGAGAATCTGTGCAGTTTGAGCCGAGTTAATAGAAAAACACAGACATTAATGGAGACAGGAGGGTGGAGACATTGATGGATCAGATTCTGAGACACAGACATTCTCCCTCGGTTGAATATGTTTCAAGTTCTGCTTAAATTTTTACTCTAGATGCAGCTTTGATACTCATGCAGGACTTCAGATCAATTCGATCTCCCCCTGAAAAGCTTAATTTAGAAATAAAACCTAGAAGGATCCTGTATTTTTCTATGTAATTTATCCATTTTCATTTCACAGAAATGTTATGTTTTATAAGAGTAGTTATGAGCTATCATTTAAGGCATTTTTCTTTCACTTTTTCTACTTTAGTACAAAGTAGAACCTGAGATACAACAGAGTAAAAGGGTCATGTTAGAGTTGTATTATTTTTTTTTTCATTTTTCATTTCGAGGATAAAGTAATAATACTATGAGTATAAAGTCGCAACATTACGAAAATAATAATATTGCGACTTTATTTTATATATATATATACATGTTTGTTTGAACTGGGAGTAGTGTGACAGTAGAAAAGGGTTTTTCAGCATCAACATCTAAAAAACAACTGATCCATGGGTTACAGTGTCGTTAAAACTGTAGTGTTTTTCCATCAGCATCCTTATATTGGAGGTTTTAGAAGGGGGCCTTTATGTTCCCATCCTCCTATGTGTATCGGATCGGGACGCAAGAACTCAGGTTCTGCAAGGCTGCATGTGAATGAAGAACAGTACTTGAGCATTGATGAGACCAGAGAAAAGATGTCTGACCAATGTGCAGCACTGGAGCACCAACGCCTCATACCATGTGTCAAGCACGGCGGGGGCGGACTGATGGCTATTAAGGCCACTGAAGGTTGTTTTTCAAAACGATCATAATCCAGTTTGCTGCTTCTCACCGTTATGGAGTTACTGAGCTGTTTGACCCTCTGTTCTAGCTGCTCCCGCTCCAGTTTCAGCTCTGAGCTCCACTTCATCAGCTTCTGCTTCTCCTCTTCTTTAGCTGGAACACAGAGCAGACGGGGGGGGGGGGTCAGTCCCTCCCCACACATCCAGGATGATGCGGGCCAGTAGGAAGACTCACCTTCTTTGTAGGCAATGTAGGAATGAACGATAGCGAGGGTACCGGGCCAGGGAATGGCTTCTTCTTTCTTCAGAATCTGAGGGGAGACGATCAGAGGTGTTAGAGAAACGCAGAACAGGCCTGAAGAGTCAAGCTTAGCCTAAACGCTGCGTGGGACTGACGGGGAAGCGGGTGATGGAGTGGATGGAAGTGAGATGTCAACTTTAAGTGACACAATGAATGACACATAACCACAAAACAAAAACAAAAAAAAACAGTCCTGCATCATGTGTTTGCTTACAAAGTACTGAACAGTCCTACAGCTGAAAGAGTGCGTAAGATTACAGCCCCGGATCAGGCTCTGCTGCTGCCGTTACCTGGTCTTGACATTTTGGACAGATCCACATGCCTTTAGGAATGGTTTTCAGGGGTGGATCCAGGCAGTCCAGGTGATAAACACGAGAACACGTGTCGCACATGAGCAACTGGCCACTGCGTCTGCACACAGTGCAGAAATCCTCGTGGATGTCTCCCTGCGAGGAAGAATTGGACCAATCAGTTTCCATAGGAGCCCCTCCCACCCTGCGTGGAGAGGCGGGGTGAGGCGGGGCGGGGCCGTGATCTGTTTTAGGTTACAGCTGGTCTCGTTTAGCAGCGTGTGTGTGTCTGTTAGCATGTGTGTGTTATAATGGACTCTGTTCACTTTGTAAGGCTGAGTGACAGGAAGTGATGGCACATGGTTACCACATGGACAACAAAGTGATGGTGGTGTGTGTGAATGGGTGACGGCGCTGCCGGGTTCAGCAGGGCCGCGTGTGACGGGGCGTCCGTCTCCCCCGTCGTTACTTACATCCCCCGAGCCGGGGCTGGGCAGGGGGAGGGGACGGACGGGGCTGGAGGGGGAGGTCGGGGTGAGGCTGCCCAGCTCCGTGACGCTGCTGAATTTGGGTGGGCGACCTGGGTGGAATGAGACAGACGACAAAGACGGAAAACAAAGAAAAAAAAAAAAGAAAAAAAAAAAGAAAGATGGAGAGGGGGGAGAAGACAAAAAACAGAGCGTCTGTATGACATACCTTGGAAAGGGAGTCTTCGTTGGCTAGCATGAATCAGGGAGCAGTGAGGGAGAGGAGTCAGAAGCACAGACAGCAGTGTTAGTGAACGACATCAGCTACATGCAGACTGCATTCAGACAGACCAGCACACCTGCTCAGGTAGACCCCCCCACCCCTTTAACTTCCTGCCTCCACAGGAAGTCCGGAGTCACTGGAAACGCTCCGGGACCAGCAGAAGGTTCTGACCCCTGCAGCACGTTTCAGACTTTCGGTTATTTCAGAGATACATTATTGATCCAGACAAGGAAAATCTGAGGGAATAAAAAGTTCCTTTCATTCCCAGAAAAACCTGGATGTTTGAAACAGAAGGTTGACCCTGATAAATCATTAATCCTCAGGGATTGATATCATCTTTTTGGTTCTGCTTTGATCTGCTTTGGTCCAGCCCTGATTTGAAGGAACTGTAGAACAGATTAGACAGTTCTCGGTGTCCGTCATGTTTGGTCCGTTTCTGAAGCTCTAGGTCTCTACAGGACCGCACTGGAACCATCATCCATAATGAAGCTAGGTTTCCTTTTACCAGGTATAAACCAAACAAAGGAAATCCCAGATCTGACTGGGATAGAACCACTGATTTGCACTGGTTTCCTGTCTGACATTAAGACAGATCGTTTCCATTTCCACCTGTTAGCTAGCCTAGTAATCTAGCCCCACCCGCCAGCGGCCTAAATCATTTTTGCCTGCGAGTGGTCTAGCCTCGATCAATGCTCTAGGCCCTAGAACTGGCGGGCCAATCACAACGCAGAGATGTGTTTTAAATTTCTGGATGCAAAGCGGGCGGGGTTTGGAGGGCGTGACGACAAAGTCGCGCAACACTGGAGAAAACACAGCAAGGAAGATGGCAACAACTGTTGAACAGTTCTTGTTTGACTCAGCTTTGGAAGGATTAGACTTGGGGTTTTCGTTGAAACGTGAACAGGAAGAGGCTCTACGCTCATCATTTTTAATTAGGACGTATACACGTTTTACCGACAGGCTGTTTGTTTACACTCCCCCACCAGCTTTCTGTCGCTCTTACTACGTCACAGTCAGTTGGGCTCTTTGGTCAGAGCGTTGGCCAATAGGCACAGACATGGTGCAACGCGTTTTTCTCATCAAAAATCTTCCGATGACTCATTCATCGCCAAACTAAATTACACATTTAATCTCAAATTTAGTCTGGTTTATCAGGCTACCTGTAAGCCACAATTTCTGCATTGAAGCTGCAGAACCACCAAAGCAGCAGGATTGAGAGGATTTTATAAAAGTAGCAGAGCATCTCACAGTTTGTGAGACAAGGTCAGTCTGACAGAATGGAAACGTTTGCTCGAAACCATCAAAGACTGGAGAAATTTGAAGGAGCAAAGCTAATCTGGATGGTGGGGATCTACGGTTCCCTCAGGAACCCTCATTCATTAGCAGGTGATGGAGTCACAGGAATGAGAGGTCAGTTTGTCCAGATTAACAACCCCAACAAACCAGCTGTACTGTGTAGATAGAGCCTGACGTATCCAACAAATATGGATCGATGATCTCCTGATGCTGACAGAGGCGGTTCCCCATCACAGCCTGGATCACTGGTTAAATGAACGAAGTTAACTCCTTTGAGAGACGAGCAAAAAAAAACAAACAAACAAACAAAAAAAAAACAGTGAAACTTAAGGTGTCATCAGGCTACGAACCAGACTGCAGACCTGAGGAGGCCGGAAGTTAAAAGACAAACAGGAAGTGAAGTAAATAACCCCAGGATGTGGCTGCAGGAGAGTCAGTCAGTCATCAGTCTGACTGACGACTGCTGCTGCAGGGTAGAACCTCGGCTGAGCATCCGAGAGCAGAAATGAGACCTGAGATTCATTTAAGGGTGCGTTAGTGTCTGACTTATTTCGGTTTATTAAAGCTACGACCCCTCATGTTGAAGCTGTAGGTCAGTGAGATGTTACAGCAGCAGCTGCCTGTTAGTCGGGTTACAGCTGCACACACCAGACACCAAACCTTATCCAGAATTAGAGCAACTAGAGCTTCGTTAGGACCTCAGGATGCATCAGTATTAAAGGTTAAACTGGATTTTTGGTCGTTTGTCAGAGAGCTCCAGAACCAAACCGATCCCACCACAGCAAGCCGGACCGGGCCTCCTTATATACCCCAGTGATGTCAGGGCGGGTTTGCTCCCAGCCACGCAGACACACTTGGGAACTCTACGATGAGCAGACGGCTGCTTAATGCTTCAGGTTTAAAGGTTTATGGATAAAAGAAATTTTCAGATGAACCAAGAACGTCGCCTGACGGCCTCCTCCATGATGGAGAGGCACAGTTCCCAGGTGTTTTTCTTAAGGGCAAATCAGCTTAAACTGGTTTATAACGGTGGTGGCAGCGGAACCCAGTCTACCTCAGAATCAGAAGTAACGCTGCCATCAGGCCCGGCTGTAAGATCAACACGCCGCTGCTTGGGTCCCAGCAGGCAACAGACCAGCCCTGTTCTCCATAAAGTGCTCAGACCCCTGAACATCCGCACACCGTGCTACGAACTGAAGAACTTTTTACAGAGAGACATTTTGGATTTTATCGATGCGCATTCCAGATCCACACACGCAAGTTACACCTGGCACGCATAGCGCCACCTGGTGAAGGGCTCATTATGCTTGACGCGCGGACAGGAGGCGATGGTCAAAGCGTCTGCAACATTTATACTCTGTGGGGCTTTCCCCGTTCTGGCCGGCTGTGGGGAGGCTTTCTCAGCACAAACAGCAAACCGACAACACCACACTACAGGAGGAAGTAGAAATCAGCGCCGTTTTTCCGCAATGTGTTGATAGTGGTGATATTTATAAGCTAAAATGACGGGATGTCTGTAGATGTTTACATTTGTGCACTACCTGGAGCTGCTGCCCCTCGCCGTGTTTTCTGTGCAGATCCTTTAAATTGTTACAAATTTTCCTAGGTACTCCGCATGGAGGGGCATGGAAGCTCAAAATGATGTATTTTGGCGGCGGAGACCTCGTGGACACATCAAGCATAAACCAAGCTTTAGAATGTTCCTCGTTGAGCTCCCTGAGGTGCTCTGGGCTTAAATAAGACGCCCTGATGAACAACATCAATAAGAACTCGTTCTGACTCAACTTGCTCTCTGTGAACTACGGCACAAAGAGCCTGACTTCTCTGAGGTGGGTGAAGGAGAAGCTCTGACAAAGGAAACGTGACAGAAGCGACAGGAAGCAGCAGAGGAGAGCAGGAGTTGTTATATGGCGTGTTATTAGAGGAGCAGCTCGGTCTGCTGGCTCCAGTTCTTCTCTACAGACTTCAGATCAGACTGACTGACAGCCTCTGGGTTTCATACAGACCTCTCTTCCTGGTCCCCTGGTGCAGAGGGCTGTTCAGGTAGCTCACTGCGCTCTTTTTCCTCTGCAACAGAACCAAAAGAACCGAGTGGTTAATGACATTTGAATAAAAAGCCTGAATTAGAGCAGACTTCCACGCTCCACGTCCAGCTGAACTCCAGGCGGTCGTACCTCGGGCTCGAACACAGCTCCGCTGTACACCGGGTTAGCTGTCGTTCTCCTCTTCCTCTCCTGCCGTTTGCTTTGGATCTCTGCGAGAACAGAAACCGGGGTTTCAGAGCAGATAAGATTTGCTTTCTGCAGCCAATCGGTGCATCTCTCACCTTCCAGGTGGTCGTGTGTGACGAGGCCCAGAGACACCATGAAGGCCAGTTTCTAAAAGAGGAACAGGGTTTAGCTCATCAGCCCTCTGATAAACACAACATTTACACTTCTAAAGAACCCAAACCAGCAGTAAATAGTATTTGGAACCGGGGTTTGTTAGGAAACTGATCCACCTGCATGTTTGATCATCAAGGTGACTCTTAACAACGTGATTAAGCAGAAACTATAACAGTGATTTCTTTAGAGAGGATGCTCAACGAAGAGATGTTCAGCTAGTCTCACCTCTGGGTTCTCCTCCTTTTTGGGTCTGGGGGGCGGAGACAGTGGAGGGGTGGAGGAGGACGGCAGGGTGACCACAGCTTTCTGTTCCGCTGCTTCCAGTTTAACAGTCTGCTGAAGGAAGAGGAGGAAGGTGACAACAGGTTAAGGTTATGAGAGATGTATAGAGCTGCTGGAGGTTAACCAGAGGAAGAGGAGAAGCTACAAGCTTTAAGCTAGCTGCCACCGTTAGCCTGGGCTACACTGAAGAACTATGATTTATAAAGTCATTATATAAAATAAAATGTGACAAGCTCAAACTTAAACAAATACATCCACTGGTGGATAATTTGGGCTGATATTGGTGTTTTTTTTTTACCTGTATTGTTGTCAAGTAGCACATAGACTGCTGATAGACACCATGTCTACTTTTAAGGGTAGCCTTAAAACGTTCCTTTTCGATAAAGCTGATAGACTGACTCTGGTTATCCTGAACTATCTCTATAGTTATGCTGCAATAGGTTTAGACTGCTGGAGGACATAGGGACCCCTTTTTCATCATTTTGCATCTCCCATTCTAGAGCATTTGTTAGTCCAATCTCTAAGTTTATGCTCTCTCTGCTTTAGCTCATCATAGTAGCTTCATCTCGTAGCTGTGCTGCTGCCATCCACACCTTAGATTTTTCAGTGTTTAGTCCATTTACGCTCCTATATCTGTGGGCTCAGCTTTTACTGTGGCTAAATGGATGTTCTCTTTCATCCCTGTGGCATGAAAACTGGCTCAGAGCTACTTAACTGTACTGGACAGAGCCACCTGTGGAGCTGGCTTACTATTCCCTTTTCTAATATAGAAATACTTTCTATATTAGAAAAGGTTCGATTGTCTCGGTTCAAATTGCGCGAGTTGTGTTCGGTTTATGCGCTGCTCCTTTTTCTGATAGGGGAAGCGTTTACACTCCAGAGCAGAAGGTGGCGGTAGTGCGACCAAAAATAAGATAAGCGAAAAATAAGAAGAAGCGAAGCAGCGTAGCCGGGTGTAGCAGAAAAAAAAATTAGTTGTTGTGGAGAATTGTGTGGGTATGGCGAGTGGGAAAGAACAGGAGTTGGAAGACGCGCCAGCAGCACTTTATAGGTCTGCTGTATGGGACCACTTTGCATTTAGAGTGACCTACGATGACGGCGGAAAGAAATCTGTGGATTAAAATGGCAACAGTGTGCAAGCATTGTGCAACACGTTTTGTTTATGCTAACAGCAACATGACCAACATGTCAGGCTAACAATCAACATATGCCGAACTGAAAACCGTGACCACGAAACCATGAACCGAACCGAATCGTGGATTTTGTGAACCGTTCCACCCCTAGTATTTATAGATCAGTGCTTCTATGTTCCTTTTCTATGTCTGCTTCTGTCTCCCCGAACCCCAGTCAGCCTCAGCAGGAGGCTGATAAGAGGTGTTGTGAATTGGACATATATAAATAATCTGGATTGAACAGTACCAACATAGTACCTGATTAGTACCTAAACAGTACCCCTTTAGTTCTCAGTGCCTAGATAAAACTAAGGCAGCCTAGTTATTAACAAGGTTATACGTGTATTGTTCATCCCAAACATCCAGGTAGTATTTATGTTCTTACCTTCGGCTCAACGATCAAGCTGCTAATTTGGATGGGCGGGGCTGGAGGGGGTGGAGTCGGGAGAGGAGCGGTGTTAGTAAGCGCCTGGGCGGGGCTGGCGAGCCGTGTGGGGGTGGCGGTGACGGGCGTTGTGATGACTATGCCGGTCAGAGGGGCAGAGCCCGTCTTGCCACAGGGCTGCCCGTTGACGATGCGGACCTGGTGGATTGGAGCGGCCGAAGGCAGCGAGGTCGCCAGCTTGGTTGCCAACATGACGGGCCTCTGAAGCAACTGGGGAGCCGCCATCATGGGAGGGGGAGGGGCTGGAGCGATGGGGACGTTGGTGGGCGTGGCCAGCCTCGGCCTGACCTGTTAATGACAACAACCAGTCAGAGGACGGCAACATTTAGAGATCAGACAGGGCTGGGTAACGACTCTGAGGCCTCTCCAAACCAGCCACTACTGAAGCTGCTGCTCCTGAAATCTATTTCCAGAGGATTCAGCAGATGGCCTCCCTGTGAGGAAAAACAAAGTACTCTGAAATACTCTGTCAGCCTTTCCTATTGTCAACATATTCTGAACCCATCTACGTTTAAGCCCCAGTTTTGGCCGTCTGTGATAGAAGCTGGGCATCAATCAGCTGTTTACATATTTGGATAACCATAGCAACCAAAGTGCCAATCAGTGAAACCAGACTGAGCTGCTTGTCCCTATCAAAGGATAAATAGATAGGATGTCGGACGCCCTGGTGCCTAAGCAGCTCCTGGAGTTCCAGCTGCAGACAGCAGGGGGCGCAGCGACTCTCAGAGGCGTTACTCAGCTCAAACATCTGCCAACATTTCCGCTTCGACTTCCAGGGTTAAAACACACAGACAGCCAGAAACTGAAAATACCAAGAAGCTGCAGGAGAACAAACCTTCATCACAATAAGGTCCACACAAACACACACAGAGAGTCAGAGGGAGGCGGGACACCCCAACAGCCGCCTGTTCATGGGTCAGTTAGATAAAAACCAAAAGAAGCACAGCATGAGGAGAAGGAATGAGGCGGCACAGAGAAAACAACGTTTTAGTGCCACGGAGCAAGGCAGGAGTGTTTGCTTTGCTGCCCTCTGCTGGAGAGTGAGCACATCACCTCAGGTAGGGCCACACACATTGGTCGGAGAGGGGGAGGGGGGAGGTCAGGGTGTGGAGGCGGGGCTTCAGGGACGCACCTGTGGCTGAAAGGTGGGCCGAGGCGTCAGTCTAGGAGGAGCGACAAACTGAGGAACTTTGATTGGCTGGGCGGATGTGGTGGTGGCCTGCAGCTGAGACAAAACCACAGCACAACGTGGGTCTGTGGACCTGACAACCACACAGCTGGTTCTGATCAACCCGACCGACGCCGTCCGTCCACTGCGGAAACCTCTGCATAGATCTGCACCGTACAGAACTAAACCAGCAGGGTTTTCAGAAACTGAAATTTAATCGTATCCTTTGAGAGTTTTTATGTTGATACGACAAATTTAATGTATTTTACTGGAATAAAAAAGTAAACTATAATTTAACTTTAGGAAAAGTGTCCAAGAAAACCTTTTAGTCGGATGTTCATCTGTATTCAGCCACTCAGACTAGTTTACTTCTCACAAATATGGATCACAGTGTTTTTCTTCCCCTATTCCTTAGAAGAAAAAAATCTAAAAATCAAATAAAAAAATAAATAAATTAGATTAGAAAAGGTCAAAACAACAGTTTTTAAGTCTGCACTGGATTTTGTTCTGGACATTATATTGCCCTCCCATGAACTCGGCTGCTGAAGAGAGTCATCCCACAGCATGACACCGTCGCCACCAATTCAGCGGCTGCATCCTTGGTAGACCAGTAACGCCACAGCGCCGCACCGAAAACCGTACCGATCCACAAATCCGTCCTCTTTGGCCGATCTAAAGATCCTTCATGGCCCATCGTTTCCCATGATTCAGTGCGGGTTGAAGTAGATTGGTCAAGCACTGGCAGCAATGGCAGCCAGATATGGCAAAGCTCTGACACAAAGCCGCCCGAATCCCAGCTCACTAATCTGAACCGCCTGCTGGGTGTTAAACACACGAGTCATTTCGATGATACTGAAGTGTTCAAGCTTGGTTCACTCATATGTTTTTCACTAAATCTTGTCTTAAACTAAATAAAAAAAAAAAGATAATTGGATTTACATTAGGAGCTACGGTGCAATGGTTCCTCAAACATTGAATAATAATAATCAGAGCATATAATAGTTGGGATCCACCCAAAAATAATACTAAATACTGTGGATAAAAAAATAAAGCGAACATTCATAAATCTGATCATTCTTGACTATTGACTAATATATTTTTCACACAAACATGATTTGTTCTATTAATTCCCACTGGTTTCTATATTTTCCAACCGAAACGTTTTTCGGAAAATCATCACAACACAGAAATCTGCAGCCCTGACCCCATAAGTACGAGCTGCCACCATCCGATGGCTTCACGGCCTCCTGCTGTGTCGGTTGCTAGGCAACCAAAGTTACGGGCGGGACAGCCGCTGAAGGCTAGACTGTCCCGATTTATCACTTCCTTCAGGCTCTACGGGGGCTGGGGTGGGACTAGGGCTGAAACAATTAATCGGAATAATCGATTATAAAAATAATCGTAAACTAATTTAGTTATCGATTAATCGTTCACTGGAGTATAGAAACTGTAAAATAGGCCTTTAGCTGACAGAGTGACCCTCTTAGAGCAATAATTATATCAAAATTGTGAAAAAATATATAAAAATCTTGCATTCAAGATAAAAAAAAATTTTTTCCCATCTATATTGTCTATCCAGAACTCATTTTATTTTCACAAGGTTTAATTACATAAAATATCTTCTTTAAGGAACCTTTGGTTATCCAATTATCCATCAATTAATTGAAAAAATTATCGACAGATTAATCAACTTGCAAAATATTTGTTAGTTGCAACCCTGGATGGAACACACCTGCTCAGGAACACAGCATCATCGCCCTCCATCTTGATCTGACAGAAGCTTCTGAGGATCTCTGAGCATGACCTCCTGATCTGGTTAACGTTGTCTTTGCTCAGCCCGTCAGTCTACTTGGTTCATAACTTCATCTTTAGATGATGACCTGAACAGAGTTTATCATTTTACAAACTAACCCTGATGTAACTTTGATTTCAGTCCCGTAGCTCTGCTGCTCGTTCTTCATTTTCTCTGATGTTTCATCAATCATTGTTAAAGCCACCGCCATTTTATTTAGAAGGATGACGGTAAATGTGGCTGAATTCAAATGTACGCCACACTAAGCCGATTCTAACGTCTCCAAACATGTGATGTCCGTTTCTGTCGGGAGAGTCTGAAGTAAAGTTGCTGCATCGGGAAAAAAAAAGGCGGAACCTGATTGGTCGGAAGGTTGTTCAGAGCTTTGGATTCTGCTCCATGTAAAAAATTAAAAAGATTGTATTGTTTTTGTCTGTTCTTAACGTGGAGCTGATGAACGAACCTTTCCTCTGAGATCTGCGTTTTAAAATCAAGATCAGAGTGAGAGCGCGGACCTTCCTGCCCGCATCAAGGCCCACTTCACGGTGACGTCCGTGTTCGCACCGTTCTCTGAGATCACTGCCAGCTGCTGAAAGGCCACCACTCACACCACAGCCTGGCAGAACGTTTCCCCGAGACCACAGAAGCGCTTCTGGAGCAGCTGGATGCCCGGCTGGCGTCGGAGGAACTTACCACCACGGCGTTCTTGGAGACCAGTCGGACGGGCTCCGCGCTCTGATTGGTCAGTCTGCTGGCCACCTGCAGGTTGATGGGGACGCTCTGCGAGTCGGGTTTGGTGATAGCTGTGGTTACCATAGCGACGGTGGGAGGGCGCTGCGACAGGATGGCTCCGGGCAGGGCGGGCGTGGCAGCGGCTTTCAGCACCAGAGTCTTGGCGGTGAGGACCGGTGTGACTGTCAGCGTCTGTTCAGGGAGAAGACAGACTGAGACGGCTGCTGAACGGCGAGTCGGATCACAGGGAGCAACGTGACCCACCTGCTGCAGCCCTCCAGGGATCTGCTGGCTCTGCAGCAGGTTGGCCGGCTTCAGGTCGCCCCCTACGGGAGCAGCTTGGACCTGCAGCTGGAGTTTGGCCTCTGGTTCCTGCTTCACCAGCAGCTCTTTTCTCAGCTGTTCCACCACCTTTTTCTGAACACAGAGAAAGAAAAATACATGACTTCTCTCTCTTATTCATCTCTAGCTTTAAAAAGGTCAAACAGGCTCTTATTTTAAAAGGAGCTTCACTATTTCTACTCTTTCCATGAACTAAAACAATGTATTTAAAGAAAGAGGACAAACTAGTGGAACAATTCTCTTTAAATAAACCGGGTGAACATGCAGCTTCATGGGAATTTATCAGTTATTTTCTATTTTCTTTATAATAAAATGCAACATTAAAGCTCCAGCATGAACATTAATAACCAGTTTATCTTTTAACCTCCATCCTCTGGCTACCTGCTTGGAGGAGACGACAGTTCTATCTTGCCATTGATCTTCAGAGTTCCTCCCACCTATGAACCATCCAGACCTTCTCTGATCCCAGAAAACCTGAGGTCCTCCGGAACATGGCTCCTTTAAGTCACCGTTTGGATTCACCTCCCTAAATTTATTAAGTAATCTATGTACTGATCATTTCTTTTTATAAGTTTATTTTAGTGCATTTGGTCACTTTCACATTTTGGATCAATTATGTTTACAATGCTGCAGGAAGGAAGGAAGCAAGGATACAAGGAAGGAAATACGGCAAGGCTGGAAGGAAAGGAAGCACTAAAGGCCTGAAAAGGTTTTTAGAGTGAAGGATGGGGAATAAAATCTAAAGAGTGGGACAAGCCTTAGCAGGGGGACGCCAGAGCTTTTTGTAGGGAAGAAAATAAACGGCAAAGAGCCACGTTAGCTAGCCTGTCTGTGCAGACAGAGCTCCACCTCTCTATAGAAGGGTTACGGTTGGTAAAGATAGATATTCACGTTCATGTTGTTTTCAAGGGTAGAAGCTGAGGAGATGTGAGAGAATATGTTTTAATAAATGTTTAAGAGTATGAAACGGATAATTAGGAATATCAAAAATGCTTTTCTCTTTTTTATTTCTTCTCTCCATCCTTATCCAGACTTGGAAAAGATTGAAGTTAAATCCAAAACTTTTCCATTCAGCAGAAACCCTGAAGGTTTCATTAGATCCTCAGAAAGAGAAGAGGATGAAAAGTGAAAACTAGAAAGAGAGGACACCAGGCGTCAGGAGGAGGAGGAAGATCAGGGGTTGTGGGACAGCAGCACAGAAGGTCATGTGGAAAAACAGAAACTAACAGAAGATGAGGCCCCTCTGTTGCCCGGCAACGGCAACTCTCAAGAAGGAATTAAATGCAGCGACAGCCGATCAAAGAGCGTCTGTCAGAGCAGAGAGCTGATCTACAGCTGCTGGTTTAACACGACCACTTCACCCCCGATCACCCCGACGCCTTCAGCCTGACCTTTAACCCCATGCGGCCCTGGATTCAGATCAGACCCATCAGACAGGGACTCAGCTCGGGGACACGGATGGTCTGATTGGACGCTTCTGGTCATAAGAAAAGATTCTGCTTGGAAACATTTAAAAACGAAAAGCCAATAAATCCGCGGAAAAATTTATATATATAAGAACTTTGACCCATGGAAGCTGATAAGGATCCAAAAAAGACTTCAGGTTAATTAATCCAACTTTCTTGGCGCATACATCTCCATCCATCTGATCTACATATTAAAGTGCCGACCAGCCGCTTGCAGAGTCTAATGTACAGAACTTCCAGCTACGCTCCCCTTTTGGCCTCTTCCTCCTCTCTCAATCCACACTCACCACAACGCAGAGCAAATCAAATCGACCTGCAGGGAGTGGACCGAAATAGAAACGCTCAAAAAGTTGGTAAAAATAGATCAGCTACCCACAACAAAGAGGCTTCAGAAGATCCTGAAGCACAACTAAGGGGCGGCTGTTTCTAAAGAAACATTCATCTCCAATGACGACGGCAGCATGGTTATTACATTATTACAGCCATCATGATGATTACTATTGCCTTCAAAAAAAAACAACAACAAAGAGCTGCTGAAAAGACTCAGAGGGACAACAGAAACGATTAAAATCTGCTGCAAAAAGACAAACAGGGAAAAAAACCCAGAAGCATTTCAAAGACCAAAAAACATAAAAAAGTGAAGCTATAGGAAAAAAGAAGCATAAATACAGCTCCAACATCTACATCAGACGGTTTTTAGAGTTCGGTTTGTTCTGGGTCCGAACTAAACCTCCACAGCGAGGCCAAAGCTCAGCAGAACCCAGAGGAGGTTCTAACATCTCGGCATGTTCCTACAAACATCCTCCTTTACTAAAGTTAATCCCTGAAATTAACCGGTACCAGCCGGTTGGTTCCGACTCCTTGATGGACGCATTAGGAGAAAACTGGAATTTAAAGTGGGGGTGAAACATTTTATTGGAAGTCCTCTCCTGCCGTTTATAACCGACAATATAGAGTCTTTGTATATGCAGGTACTAATGATTTAGAATAAGGTTTGTTTTATTCAGGGTCACCCCCTGAACCCAGCAAACCCCAGGACCAACAGGCTTCACCTTAAAGCTTTTTACCATAAAGTAAACCACGAAAAAAATTCTAATTCTAATATAAAAAGATACCAAACCCGGAAATGAAACGGATAGTGGTAGAAAATGGGTGTAAATTCTGGGTCAAATGAGCGTTTTTCAATGGATAATGAACAGAATCCAGATGGTGAATATGTTCTACAGCTGCTGCTCCATGTTTTAGACTGACGCCTGATTGGAGGAAAAATCGGGGGGAAGATGGAGTCAATGAGGATGAAGAGGAGATGAGAATGACTAGTCATTCACAGACTTTCAATGGTAGGTGTTAAACTACATGTTTTCAACCTCTAAATGGCCGCTTATCCTCCCGCTGCAGTGTGTCACAGAGAGCAAATATGTTTGATTTATGCCCAAATTTGAAGCGTGGTCTGCGCTATGTTATTCCACGCCACAACCCAAAAGAGACAATCAGGAACTAGCTGTGGGTCTAGATACAGCCGAGGTGGCGAGGAAGTGGGGGCAAGTTTGTGCGACATAGTAGGGACATGAGGGCGAAAAAGAGCGGGAATCCAGGTGGAAAAGGCTCCCAGCGTTCTCACACACCTCGCTCTTCTAGCTGGTCCATCTTCATAAGTAGTTTTCCAGAGTGGCGGTCATACAAACAAAACAAGCTGGTAAGGAACCAAACAGGAAATACGGATAGTGTAGAGCGGATGTAGATTTGACCAAACAGAGGCCTCCTGTCTGCGGTCAACTACGAATTTTGGGGAGATGCAGCAGAGTGCTGCAGAAGGGGGCGGGGGCACATTTGCATTCACTGTGACACACGTAGACGATCTGTGTTGTTCAGACTGCCATGAAACAGTCAGAAACAGGATTTGGGTCCCTTCCGGCTGCTGTGTGGACGCAGACTATGTCAGGCTCTTCTTGCTCACAGTTGTCGTCAAACTACTGAGGTAAATGTCCAAAGTTTACAGATTTTACCCTTACGCCACCTCGTAGAGCAGCATGGATGTTTGTCCAGTAATGTTTAATAAGAAGACAGTCTCACAGGATGGTGACCTGTATGCTGGAAGGAGGGGCCTCATCGTAGTGGCATTAGTAGCCAGAAAATTAAAAAAGTATTTCTAATTTTTATTGTTTTTACAAAATAAACATAAAAAAAGAAATTATCGTTCAAGGTTTTTCCCACTGAACTTTGGAAATAAAATTACATTTGTTTGTTTTGTTTATTTAAAGACTGGCCTTTCAAAGCTTCAAAAGCTCCTGAACAATCAGCCCGTGGACAGAAGTTAAAAACTGCTTTTATAAGAGATGTAAAGAAGATGATGATGGATTTGAGGATCAGACTTTATAAGATTCAGATCATCAAACCTAAAGGGCCGTTAGGGTCACTAATGGAGCCAATTAGGACATGTGAGTCATCAGCCCTACGCTCTGTTTAGCTAAATGTTTCAGTCATGGTTGCCTGGCAACCCAAATGCCTCCATAATGATGCCGTGTAACTTTTGGTCACATATTATTCATGTCATTGACCTTAACGGCCCATCAGGATGATATGTGACGCACCAGAAGCCTGATGTCATTTCTAGGTCATTCCTGACTTTTCTGTTAACATAACTGGCTTTGCACTGATGTTAAAATCTAGGAGGTTTGCTTGGGTATCACAGGGATTATGAATAATATAATTAGGGAGTTAACCCTTACTTACAATTAATTATTGATTGATAGTTAATTAATGTTAAAATGTTAAATTAATTTAATTAGATTAAAACATCTGCTCAGTATTGTAATGTTACCTTTGTCCACTAGAGGGAGCAGAGCCTCACTGTTGTTCACAATAGAAGTAATAGAGTTGAGCCATGCTAGAACAGAACCATGAATGGATCTAGAGTCCGGTCCGGATTATTTCCACTGTTTAATCGATCCAAGGATCCAGAATTTGCTGTGGTTCTGTTAGTGAATCTAAACTCTGGATAAACTCATTCAGTTCTCCTAAATGGGCCCATTTAGCGGCGCTGCAAAGCGGAGCAGCAGAACTTCTCTGTTGGGATCAAAAGGAGAAGATGATAGAGCAGTGGACGACACTACGCTCAACTGTTGAAACAGGATAGAAGAAGACATGCTAGCTGTTAGCATGAAACCTGGAGAAGCTTTATGAGGTAATGAAAAAGCACCGTGTAAGGAGCCGGAGTCCTGTGACCACCTCGGAGTGTAAAGTAGTGATTATCTAACATACACTGTCTAACAATGATAGATCTAGATCTCCGTTCACTGGAAAGCAGAAGTTTCACATAATTTATTAATCTTATTTAAGTAAGTAAGAAATATGTAGTGATTCATGTTATGGAAAGATTTCAATTTTAAGCTAAATGGCTGCTTATCATTTAATTAGCCGATCGATAAAATCAACTTTAGATTAACTCAATAATCAAAAACTTTTCTCCCTTGATGTAAAATGTATTTCATTAATTCTATAAAAGAAACTGTTCAACCTGAGATCGTTTGTCACAAACGATGCTCTTAAAACCTGACAAAGATGTATCAATATTGTTTTCAATAATATTTCTAACAAAAACCGTATTTGGTACCAGTTCTCAAATCATATCTTATTTTTTAAACATCTGCAAAAACACGCTTCTTTTAACAATCCCTCGTATTTCTAGAATAAATATAACAACAAGTAACAACACATTTTTACTAAGTGGGAAACAATAAAAGACCAAATGGTGTTTAAGTGCTTTCAGATTTCAAAAGGTTAAACTAATGGATCAATGAAAGCTGGAAAAAAAGGAAAAATTATCCATAAGCTAACAAACCAATCAGATTTCCAGTAAATAAATAATAAAATGCCTCAGAGAACCAGGAGCGCACAGGGACCCACCTGCTTCTCGCTGAGCGCTGTGATCTTTGCTTGGAGTTCATGGAGCTGCTTTTTCAGATCTGCGTTCTGGAACAAAAACGAGCCGTCAGTCTGAGCAGAACCGGACCGGGTCCGGGATCCATGTTTGGCAGAGATCTGCTGGGCTTACCTGCGGGTCCTGCTTCATCTGAGCCACCAGTTTCTGCAGAAGAAGAGGAAAAGAAGGGTCAAAGTCAGGGAAAGCCACAGTGACACCTGTTGGTAGCAGGTAGGAACTACAAGTGGGAGAAGAAACTCTCTTTCAGTCGAACAAAAAAAATGCTGAGAAAGGGAATTCTTTGATAATAAATAAACAGATAATTTTGTAGCCTCGGTTATATGAATCTGTGCATTAATCCTGCAGAGGTCTGAAACTAACGGGTAAAATGAGACATGGTTGCAATACATGCATCTAATCTAAGGCTGAACCATTTAGTAAAAAAATAAAAATTGCAACTATTTAAATATCTGCGGCTAGTTGCAACTCTCTATAACCTAGTAAACTAGCCCCACCTGCCAGCGGCCAAGATCATTTTTGCCTGCGAGTGGTCTAGCCTCGATCAATGCCCCAGGCCCTAGAACTGGCTGGCTGTTTTGAATTTCTAGATGCAAAGCGGGCGGGGTTTTGAAGGCGTGACAACAAAGCTGCACGACGCTGGAGAAAGAACAACAAGGAAGATGGCAACAACTATTGAACAGTTCTCGTTTGACTCAGCTTTGGAATCAGTTTTGGAAAGATTAGACTTGGGGTTTTGGTTGAAACGTGAGCAGGAAGAGGCTCTACGCTCATTGATTTTTAAGAAGGACGTATTCGCCGTTTTACAGACAGGCTGTTTGTTTACACTCCCCCACCAGCTTTCTGTCACGCTTACTACGTCACAGTCAGTTGCTCTCATTGGTCAGAGCGTTGGCCAATAGGCACAGACATGGTTTGAAAGACAACTGGTTGTTCTCATCAACAATCTTCTGATGTCTCATTCATCAGGGGCCAGACTAAATTACACATTTAATCTCACATTTAGTCTGGTTTATCAGGCTTAACTCTCTACCCACTTAAAGGGTTTTACTGCCCCCTAAAGGGCAGGAGAGACAAATTTAGAGGCTCTGCGATTTGAAAATAGCATTTTGTTCAATTGCGATGAATTGCCCAGTCCTAATCTAATCTAGCAGTTTTAATTTCACTTTTAATCAACTGTGGCTGTTAGGATGTGACAGATTATATATAATGGTTGTAATGAAGAACGAGTATTGGTCCACCAGCTTTATTTTGATTGCGGTTTGTTTAAAGGACGGATGGCGCCGTTCTCTCATCATCAGCACTCAGGTTTAAAATGGAGCTTCTAACTAAAGTCAAACATTCATAGTTTCATTGATCCAGCAGCTTCAGAAGGAGTGAAAAGCTGCTTTTTTATGTCATCGCTGATTTTTATGGACCGCCGGCTTTAAGAGAACATTTCAGGGTCAGCAGACGGATCAAAGCTTCCTCTGTGAAAATGTTCACATTGATCCCACAGAGATTGTGACAAAGCAACATGGAAACCCACCTGATGGATCTGGATCTCCACCTTCAGGGCCTCCTGTAACGTCTGTAATTCCATCATGGATCCAGTCAGTCTGTCAGCCGTTCGATCAGCCTGGAAACACATCAGTCAGATTAGAACTTCCTGTGTGATGCTGACAGCTTCCTGTCTGATGAGGTAGCAAGGGGCTTTTACCTGAACACCTTCTCCAGTAGGAACAGCATCCAACTGAAGCATTAAAGTGCCGCTGGAAACAAAAGGAGACCCGTTAGACCCTGAAAGGCTGCTGCAGTTTGACCCGCCGAGGTCTACGCTCAGGTAAACTGACTGCTGGATTTATGAGGAATAAAAACACCAACCCAACATCTGCTGTGAAGCCTGACGTCGGCAGAGCCTGAGGAAACAACTGCACTTAAACACATCGCAGAGACCCCAGACCGCCCACATCGGTTCAACACAGACTGATAATCCTCATCCAGGTTCTCCTTCCTGGCATCAGACTTTCCAGGATTAGCAGATTTTCAGGTTGCTGAAGATCTTTTAGGGACTTTATTTTTATGTTAGCTTTAGCTTTTTTTAAACTCGGTTTCAGTCCAGTTGAGGACAAAATAACAACCATTAAAAATCAGAATCTAAACTGCATTGGGTTTGTTTTATTGTGTAGTTTTGTTTTTTATGGTGGGAATGTTGTTCAAAGCAAAAACAAGATTCATAAATGCAAATTAAAAAAAATAGAAATCCATAAATAAAACATTCGTAATAATGAAAAAATGCTGTTTTCTTACATTTTACTTTATTATTTAATTACTTCCATTTTTTTTTTTTTGTAGCATTTCCTTTTTTTTTTTTATACTTTTTTTTTTCCATTTTCTGTTTTTCAGATTTAGTTTTACTAATTTGATTCTTTTAAATTTTGTTTTCCAGATCACATTCTCCCCTCTGGTTTTTGGTCTGCTGGACGTTATTTTTATTGGCTTAAAGCAAGCGTTTGTGTCCGGTCTGAAATAAGGAGAATGGGATCGGTAAAATGCAATCCATAAGGAAAATATAAAATCTGTTTAAAAGAATAAAAGATGAAAATAAATCAAAAAGAAATAAAAAAAACAAATCCAAGGAAGGATGAAGAAGTTTTTCAAAGTTTCATTTATGAAAACTATTTTTTTTAATCAAATTTCTATCTACCAAACGATTTCCTTTATTGCAACAATAATGGAACAAAATTTTCTTCTTTTTTTTTTTTTAAGAAAGAAGAAACCATTTTAACTCAGAGACATTTTTATTTCTCAGCTGAACATCTACGCCTTTTATCTGCCTGTTAATGAAATGTTATGTTTAGTTTTCATGGTAATAAAAGGCTGAAGTATTGAGTTTTTTAGCTAACTTTCTCAGGGCTGGTTTGGTGTAAACTACAGGTTCATGTCTAAAGATTAGAGCCTTTTTCTTTCCCCAGTGATGCAGACAACAATCAACAATCAACTCTTCTAAAACTTATAGGCTGAAGGAATACTGAAGGCTGCAGAGTATTTTTAATGGTGATTAAACTGGACTCACCAATTGGCTGTTGGACTGGACTCCACCCCTCTGTGCTGCCCTGAAAAACACAACAAACAAACTGTCAAAAAACAGCCAAATCAACAGTTTTCTATAAAAAGAAAAAAAAAACATTGCCCCCTTCTGGTCAAACACAGGTTAAAGAAAAGTTTCATTTACAGAGAAACGAAGACGAAGCGTGACTCATTGAGATCATCTTTGTTTCTGAGCCACCTGACAGGTTCACCGCTGAAATGTTTTTAAAAAACTAGTTATTAATGCTGAGGTACAGAGAAAAGGGCTTCATCACAGAGACTAAAGGACCTAAACTGGAGCCAGTTTGAATAATCAGAGAAAGAAAAACCTCAGAACTGTTCATTAGTTCTGATTCTACTGGTTGAACTTTGTGACTCGAGGCTCCAGAGGTTTTTAATTTAACAACTGTTGTCAAGCAGATTGATCTGTATGGAAGAGGATTATGGCCACTGAAAAAATAAAAACGTTAACTGACTCTTAAATATTATTTTAGTTTAATATGGGAAAAAGTCAGTATTCTGACTCTTCTCAGAATTCTAACTTTAGTGTGTCTGCTTCAGAAAAAAGTCAGAAGTCTGAGAAAAAAGTCAGAATTCTGACTTTTTCCTCATATTAAACTGAAATAATAAGTAACATTTTTTTGTGTCCCAAATCCTCTTCCGTAGATCCGAGAGTAAATAACTGAATGTTTGAATATTTTCTAAACATAGAAACACAACAAAAGAAGCACTTTGCTTCCTCACAGCACCACAGAAATCAAACATTTTTTTTTATCAATATTCTGCTGCACATCTAGATTTTCAACTGACTGAACCAGCCCAGAAAGTCTAGTCTACCAGAGCCTAGAAGTCTGTGTTTACTGGAAACCACCGCTCTCCGTGGTGCTGACAGACTGGGGCCCGCCCAGGTCCAAACGCCATAAAGACCTGTTGCTGCTGCAGCGATGCATCTGGATGTATCTTTTGTCAAGCAAAAGATACATCCAGATGCGGTGAAGAAGATACGGTGAAGAAGAAACCAAAGTTATCAGCTGACGCTGCAGGATGCAGCTCAACAGGTAAAAATCTGTTTCCAGGGTTTGTTTGTTTTTTAAGTCTACATATGAGGCTTTTTATCTCCTCAGACTTCGGCATTCCTTAGCTAACGTGAGCGTGAACAGGGCTGCTCGATTCCAAACAGAGCTGCAGAAGATCCTGCATAGTGACACTAAAACTCGGAGTCTAACCACTGATCAGACATCCGTTAAAGTTACTTTAATCTAAAAAAATTAATCACATGAGGGGGAAAAAGTTCAAACCAAGCAACATTTAAATCATAGCAACACAAATCGTTTACATAAATATATAATTTATTGATATATGGTAAAACTAAATGAACATTAAATGTCTGTAGATTTTTATTCAATCCAAAATGAGCTACAGAGTCAAACAACATGATCTTCATTGTGGGACTGAGATCATCCGTCTGAAGGAAACTAACGCCGACTTTCTTCCACATTCGGTTGAAAAAAATAATCTGCACCTTTTTTTAAATGCTGCAAAAAGTTTGACTTTGAAGATGCAGAAAACAAGTAAGGAACAAATAAAACATTGCAAAGCACAACCCTTAAACTGGACATCAATATTTCTGTTCTAAATATAAACATGAGAATAAAAGATTTGCTTTTCCTGAAAGCTGCTGACGTGACGAAGAGGAAAACATGCAAACCGAGACACAGAGCAGCAGCAGCACTTTCCTCCCCGACGTAAAGAAACTAAACTCTCCTGAAAGTTTGTTTTACTTTAAAACTAATAGAAACAACTTAAATGAAAAAACATTATTGATTACAAATCGGAAGCAAATTTAAAACGTTTATCAAAAGTTATCGAACCGATTTTAAAGCAAAAAACAAACAAACTATAAAGTACTTTTAACTTTATTATTTTACATTACGTATTTTCTGCTGCCAGTAGAAGGAGTTAAAATGAAAACAAAGTGAAACAAATGAAAGTTTTCAAACAAAACTAACCTGGGTCCTGAACCTAACTTGTTATTTTTGAAGTTAGAACTTTGACGTTCTTACAGAACCAGCAGAACTTAAAAAAGATAAATAAAACATCCTGCAGTACTTTCATCTAAATGGGCAAAGAAATTAAAGTAGCAGAAAATAGAAGTATTAAAATGGATCAAATCTTTTATAGATGTAAATTAAACCTTATAGTTGAGGGTTAAATACTTTCTGATGGGGAAAACTGTCCTAATCACTTTAATAATGAGTTTCACACACAGATACTTTTAGATAAATATTAGAAAACACGAGATTAAAGCCAAAGATCTAAAGGAAGGAAAACTCCTAAACATGAGCCCAGAATAAAACGCATCCATCCTGAAACCATCTCATTTCACTACGGGATAAACTACACTGTTAGAGAAGTATTTGCATGCGAAACGTCCAGCCAAGCAATACCTGAAAACACAGTCAGATCAGTGTGGAAACGTTAAACAGGACACCAAAGAGAAGTAGAAGTACTAGAAGGAAGCTCAGGTGTTTGCTTTAAAACCAGCCGTACTTTAAAGGAAGGAGGAGAAGTTTCTGACTCTACCAATTGTTCAAAACTGAGTTTTTTTCTCTTTGGGAAACAAAATAAAATTTTATTTCTCAAAATTGGCCAAATTTTAAAAAGTGTGAGATTTTTCTCAAGCTAAAAACCTCAGATTAAAATACCCGAAGTTCTTCTGGCACCTGAGGAAAATATCAATAAAGTCCAAAAAAAAAAAAAAGTGATCCAGCATCTCTGACCCGCTTCGTCTGACAGAGAACTAAACTTAGTGTCAGAAACTACTAAAATACTACAACAAACTGTACAACCTGCGTATAAATCTGTCAACTGATCATTCATCCAGAGGAGAAAACCTTTAAGGTTGAAATGTTTGAGACGTTTGTTGGAGTTTTATTGTTGAGTCAGCAGGAAACCGTTCCTTTCTTTCAACAGTACTTCAAACCCATTTCACACCAGCCTGTGATCAGCCTGTGATAGTACTTGTAGTACTGAGGTACACAGACGTCGTTAAAAAGTACAATTCCCTGGCAGATGAAGTGATAAATTCAAACTTTTAGAACAGAATGTTTAAAATGTTCAACATAGTAAGGGACAAATTACTACTGAAACTGACAGTTTTAAAAGTATTCCAGATGTATACACAGTTATAACTACTCTGGTACTTTACAGACACAACTAAGGTATAAAGGAGGTCATAGCCTGGCTCGTACTCAGTACTTTATTAGTACTTGGCTAACAAATAACCAAATACATATTGAACCTAGGGCTGGGCGATATAGAAAAAAAGCTTATTGATAAAAAAATGCATATTGATCGATATCGATAATTATTGAAAAGATTTGAAACCATATTTTATGTGCAGCTCTGCCTGGACTTTTTATAATATTGCTAAATGATTTAATTTTAATAAAGAACACAAACACAGACTTTGAATTAAATCTTTATTTAACCAACTTTTTTAACCATAACAGAATTGTGTTAAAGAAAAATAACTTAAGAGACCTGAGTTATGTTATTAAATACTGACAAAGAATAAACTAAAGTGACCAGAAAAGTGACCAAAATAAATATAACTAATAAATAAATGAACCCCGCCCCCATTCTTCTAAGCTGAACCTGGTTCAGCTTAGTTTCCTGCTTTAACCTGAGTTATTACTTTAAAGTTTCTGGCCCCTCAGCATTTTTCTCTCAATTGTTAGAACTACGTGGGAAACTGCCCAGAACTGAAAATATATATATATTTTCCCGAAATTCCCGAAGATTCCTCGGAGGCGATGCAGAGTGGCGTCGGGGCCTACACAGCTCGTACTCCTGCGGGTGTGAGCGGCTGAGATGATAAAAAAAAGCCACATGTCTATCGATCGATATATATCGTTATTGAATTATCGCCCAGCCCTAATTGAACCATTTTAAAATCTGTTTAAACAATAAACAGAATAATATTCAAAACATTAAGTAATACCAGATGAAAATACTTCAGCTACAAGTAGTGAAGTAGTACATCATATCTCATTCTGAAACCTCGAGCTTCCAGGCCTTAAAAACTACAACATTTAGTCTGAAGAGCAGGAAAATTAAAGTTCTGTTTAACGTTCAGCAGTACTTTAAATAAAAAGTACTAAGTTAGAAAAACTTGTCAATTTGTTTACAATCTTTTAAGACTTTTTAAAAGTTTTTAAATGCGTCTCAAATGAACACAATGCTAAAACTCTGCTGGTACCGAAATGGAAAGTACTTTTATAAATCAATATTAATACAAATGATTGACAGAATGTGTCGGTACTAAAGTACAACAAACTGTTTTAATGAAGCTAAAAGAAAATTAAGATTAAAAACTATGAAAAACTGTCAATTATTTTACAGAAAAACAGAATATACTTATTTTTACAAGTAGTTCAACCAGGTATTTTGAAAGTGTTGTTTCTGAACCTGAAGTTTCAAGATCTGAAAATTTAAAATATTTATTTTAATGGAAATAAAAATACAGCTTACTTTTAAGAAGGAAAATAAAGTATTTCTGTTTTTCTAATTAATGAAATCTATGCTGCTTTTTATAAGAGTATCTTTTAAATGTTTTTGAATTAAATCGTTGCTGTTTTTATTTAAATCCAAAGCTAAATACTCTGTTAAACCTTATAAAAATGTACTGAACCTCAAAACTGCAAACAGAACAATCCCACATTTAATTAAATATTTCTGTGACTCCAATGAAGTAGTTTGAACTAATTGTCTAAAATATGATAGAAAGTTTAAAATAAAGAATAAAAAAATTTATATTAAAACACAACAAACAGCTTTAAACCTGCAGGAAAAAAGTCCAGTCGGCCCAGTAAAATAAACTGGGAAACAAATGTATTCCATAATAACACTTTCCATGTAATTAAATAAAATCTAGACTTTGAAAACCTGAAAACTCTAAATAGAGTTGCAGCAAAAAGTAATTCATCTAATTTTACAGCGAGTACTTTTAAGTAGTTCTGCTTTCCAGAATCCAACTAAATAGTAAGTATAAAGTAGAACCCTGAAGAAACACAGACTGTTTTCTTTGGTAGATTTTCACCAAATCATTATAAAAATATGTTTTTTCTCTGAACGTATATTATTAGAAAATAACAAACCTGTAAATCTATATTTTTTGTAAATGAAAAGTAAATCAGACAAATTTTATAAATTAATGGATTTATATTACATACTTTTTTATTTAAAAAAGAAAAACTACACTTAATCTAAGTATGAAAACACAACTAACTAGTGTGAAGGATTTCCAATGTTAATCTGGGTCATCCTCAGAAAAAACAACAGAATAAAGTTCAGAATCCTCTGAAAAATACTTGGAAACAATCATAAAGTAGCTTCTAGTATAAATCTTTTAGTTTTCTTTAATCAATATTTCAGGAGCAGATCTTTAGTCTCATTCCAAGTGATGATGTGCTGTGAGATTATAATCCAGCAGCAGCAGCAGCCTCAGATTGGCTGGTATTCCCAGTCCGGAGGGATGGGGCAGCGGGGAGTAAAGTGAAAGCTCCCGGTTCGGTGTCCCGGTCGGGATCCGGTTTTATTGGGCTGTTTGCTCTGGAATGGGTCGGGAAGTTGTCGGGATGTAAACTTCGATGAACCCGCATGCCGCCGCAGCAGCAGAGGCCCGAAAACAGCGAGAAGTGAGGCTAAGATGGAGGGTTGATCCTGAAGCAGCTCTACAAACTCCGCTTTTCTTTCCACTCTGGGAGAAATGATTCACCCAACCGCTGCTAACCGACCGCAGCTGGGCTGGGCAGAGCCAGCGAGCTGCCTGGCAGGCTCACAGCAGCGGGGAAGGACAACGTTTCAGTTGGAGCTTCGATGTTTTGTCGCTTCTTTTTTTTTTTTTTTTTTTTTTTGTCGGTGTGAAAGCACCGACCGTTCACCGAGAACAAGTGGATGCGGCCCGAAGTTAGTGTCTGAATCACAGTATTGACAAAAGGCGCATTCCGCTGTTTTTAAAGACCCTACACTACATGATAACTAAACCCCTGATTACTTTAAAACACGGGTTGTTCTTTTTTATTTAATTAAAAGTTAAATTTAAATGTCGTTTCTAGTATTGATGCATTTCATTAAAAGAAAAATAAACAAATTAAACTACCAAACCACTCAGATGTGGGTATAACTATTCTTTGCTGTTTATACATCTTAGAAAACACTACGGAAGAGGATTAAGGCCACTGAAAACATTTTAAAAAGTTAACAGATTTTTTTTATTTCAGAAAAAAGTCAGAATTCCGACCTTAATCTCAGAATTCCGACTTTTTTCTCTCAATTCTGACTTTAATCTCTGAATTCTGACTGAATTTTAACAGCTAACAAACATGTTAGCATCAAGCTGTTGCCATGTCTGTTTTAAATACTATGGTAGCTCTCTTATTTTAATCACTTTCTACCCTTCCATTAATTAAATATCATCCTTATGTTAAATAGCATCACGTAAAAAGTAGCCTAATCGTAATTTTCCACCAATGTGTCGCTGGCCCTTTCAAACAACTCACATCTTTGTCAGTGAAGCTCCGTGCTCCCACATCTCTTTCTTCACGGTGCCCATCTACATTAAGATCCATAATTCTGAGAAAAAAAGTCAGAATTCATTCTGAGATTAAAGTCAGAATTCTGACTTTTTTCTCATATTATACTGAAATAAAATAAAAATCAGTTAACTTTTTATTTTCTCCAGTGGCCATAATCCTCTTCGGTAAAACACAGCGTTACATGTACTCCACAAGTTATAGTTATTCAAATATCTCTAGAAATACTGATATCACATCTTTTCTGCCATTTAAATCAAATAAGACCAGGAACTCCAACACAATTTGACATATAAAACATAAGTATATACTAAAAACAGCACTTTACCAGTATACATGAAGTTTGTAATCTACCAAAACCAGAAAAGCTCTACTCTTTTCTATCCAAAACAAATAAACACTAACAAACTATATCACATACTTTAAGCATCGTGTAATGATTGTGTAATAACTTGTTCCATGTTTTAACTTTCTTTGTGTGTTCAGTCCCCAGGGCTGAGTTTTCCCCAAAAATAGCGGAATCCTCCTTTACTAACAATCACCCAGAAGCCAACTTCATCCCCATAAACGTTAGCTGCTAATGCTAACTATCATGCTAGCTGCCCGGGCTAACGGCGCCAGCAGGCGGATAACTTCACGCAAAGAGACGTGAGGAGCCTCCCTGGGAGACCCGGAGGAAAAACTGAGGGAGAAGATGAGCAGCACTCCTGAACCACACCGTTTTTTCGGGACAAACCCCGACGGAGAGCCGCCGTCTGTCGGTGGCTCTAAGTTCTGTCGGCCCCTTGTCCTCCAGAACTCCAGAACCTCGGTCCGCAGCTAAACACACACAGCCAGCCGGAACACACACCCTGCGGCCGCTCACACACCTGCTCACACACCTGCTCGGAGCCTCGGAGTCAGTCTGCAGCCCCGTCAACTTCAACACTGGACTGAATTAAAGTTATGAAATAAAAAAAGCCCACTTACTCAGCAGCAGTCCTCCTCCAGATTAATTAAATATTTTCCTCCCAACTGCCGATATACGAAGGAGCCGCAGCTGAGCAGGAGTCCGGCCGCCTCCTGCTCACCGAACTGCACTTTGTTCTGTTGTTGGAGTAAAAAAGACGTTAAAAAACAGAGAAACTGAAGCTACAAAACAAGAAGAACTCTTCTTCAATCTCATTCAGCTCAGCCTCAGCACAACCCAGATCCCTACGCCACCGAGCCGGAGGAAGGGGGCACAAAAACTACACGCCGGCCCACAAAAACCTCCCCAATCTACCACCAAGCGTTTGATACCGGCTTAGTTCGACCCCAAAGTTCGTTAATAAGGTATAATCAATAAAAGGAGTCGGATCGAAAGGTTGTTGGGGGAGGGAACTACTTTATGTGTCGGTGCGGCGAATTTATTTCACTTTGCCTAAGGAACGGCGGTGCTGCGACTCCCATTGCCTAGGGAAAAAACCCGGATGTAAACTCAGCGAAACTCTACGGAGAGAAAGTCTTTTTTTCTCTCTCTCTCACACACACACACACACGCCATGGATGGAGTTGTGTTCTTGTTGTGTTCTCCACCTCACAGGCGGGCCGTCCGCTCCCAGCCTCCATGTTCGCCGAGTGTTGATGCACTTTGTGGAAGAAGAGGAGGAGGACAGGTGGCTCGGCCTTCCTCCCTCTGCTCGTGTTATTCGCTGAAAAACGGCCTCACAAAGAAACACACAAGTGGAGGAACGAGACTTGGGGAAAAAACCGGTTTTAGCTCGTTTATAAACAAATACAACAGGAAATGGTTTGATAACTGTCTAAGTTTGTTGTTTAATTAAACGATGTATTCAAATCTGCAACTAATGTGTTCGCAGAATGCCACGCTGCTATGAGGAACATATAAAAACAACAAACTGGGAAGTTTTTTAATGTAATTCCTGACGAAGATTACAATAAGATAGCCTTTAATAAGTAGATTAAATGATTAATTTAATTTAAAAACCCCAAATTCGCATAAAAGTTCTCATAATCCACTCTGCAAAAAATAAAACAACTATAATATAATATTCAATAAATTCGAATATAATTTAGAAGTTATTTTGTGAACTAAAACTCAATCTCCAAAGTGAAAAAACATCCTCCTAATTATAATGATTTCCACTTATAGCCAAGGGCGGAGCTAAATGGGGGGCCAGAGATGGGAAGTAACAAAGTACAAATACTTCATTACTGTACTCAAGTAGATTTTTCTGATATTTTTACTTTACTTTACCACTTATTTTTATGGCGACTTTTTACTTCTACTCCTTACATTTTTACACAAATATCTCTACTTTCTACTCCTTACATTTTAAAAAATTGGCTCGTTACTTTAGTTTTGAATCAGTTCAATGGAGTTACCGTTATTATTTTTCACGTCATCAATACCAAATTCAATCTAATTGGATGGGAATCTACGTTGCATTTGACGCACCACTACAAGATGAATCGACAGATTCGGCGGTATTCATTGGCGGCAAATCATTGCAGCTTGGTGGCGGTGGCGTTAGCATAGTAGCATGGACGACGAGATGATTGAAAATGAACACAACGGAGATCTAGTCCTATTGGCAGACATCCATTTAAAATGTAGGCAACGGCATGAAAAAGTGGTTTCTACTTTTACTTTTATACTTTAAGTAAATTTACAAGCCTGTACTTTGTTACTTTTACTTCAGTAAAGAAGTTTAATCAGTACTTCCACTTTTACCAGAGTATTTTTTAACACAAGTATCTGTACTTTTACTCAAGTATGGAAAGTGAGTACTTTTGCCATCTCTGCCCTTAGCCAATCATTGCCCTCCCTGTGGCCACCCCTACCAATGCAGACACTGGCAGCAGTAATACTCTGAAGGAGAATGTTCAAACTTAATAAACATTTACATTTTTTATTTATTAACAATCCCTTTACAACAGAAACACCATGGTAAATTACGCACATCAATATACTAACATTAAAGATGCTAAGTACAGAATTAGTGCTCTTTTCTGAACTACATTTTAAATTATTTGGGGTAAAGATAAAATTATGTGTTTCTGCAAGTCATCTAGGAGTCTTCAGTGAAATCAAACAAATAACTACTTTAATAATAACTTAACCATTCTTTAAATGTGTATATTAGTGCATTTAGATATTTTTTTTGCAGAATGATTATTGATAAGGATAGGTAATGACAATGTAAAAGATATTCGCCCCAGAACTCAAACCTGAATGAATTTTGTCCACTATACCTTTAATTTAGACAGCGTGGATGTTTAAATATCCGTTTGTATTTGTTAGCAAAGGCTGTAGGAAAGTGTAGATAGTCTTTATTTAAAAAAATATGGACTTTGTGCTTGTTCCTGTTGGAACAGTGTAGATTGACGCTGAGGTTCTGGTGCTTTTCAGCCACTCCTCAATGTACATTGGTTATTGACTAGCCACCCCATTAGGATTTTCTGGCTACGCCTATGCTTATAGCTAATAAAAAAATTACATTTAGATTGACCCAGTTTAATCCAGTTTATTAAAAAAGCAATAATTCACAACACTTGTCATCCCAAAGTGCTTTACAGATGATAGATTGGTTCAAAGTTGACTTTGCAGGATTCATGTAGTAACAGTAGATATTTCCTTCCATTGAGTCCACACATATCCCTCACACAGAGCATGCATGTAGCAACAGGTAACAGGAAAAAAAACCCTTTTAACAGGAATAAACCTCTAGTATAACCAGGCTCAGGGTGAGCAGCTTTCCGTTGAGGCCAACTGGGGATTCAAGGAGGCAGAAGTAGATACACAAAATGAAAATAGAAGCACTGATGCATACACTCACCGGCCACTTTATTAGGTACCCCATGCTAGTAATGGGTTGGAACCCCTTTTGCCTTCAGAACTGCCTCAATTCTTCGTGGCATAGATTCAACAAGGTGCTGGAAGCATTCCTCAGGGAGTTTGGTCCATATTGACATGATGGCATCACACAGTTGCCGCATGATGCGAATCTCCCGTTCCACCACATCCCAAAGATGCTCTATTGGATTGAGATCTGGTGACTGTGGAGGCCATTTGAGTACAGTGAACTCATTGTCATGTTCAAGAAACCAGTCTGAGATGATTCCAGCTTTATGACATGGCGCATTATCCTGCTGAAAGTAGCCATCAGAAGTTGGGTACATTGTGGTCATAAAGGGATGGACATGGTCAGCAACAATACTCAGGTAGGCTGTGGCATTGCAACGATGCTCAATTGGTACCAAGGGGCCCAAAGAGTGCCAAGAAAATATTCCCCACACCATGACACCACCACCACCAGCCTGAACTGTTGATACAAGGCAGGATGGATCCATGCTTTCATGTTGTAGACGCCAAATTCTTACCCTACCATCCGAATGTCGCAGCAGAAATCGAGACTCATCAGACCAGGCAACGTTTTTCCAATCTTCTATTGTCCAATTTCCATGAGCTTGTGCAAATTGTAGCCTCAGTTTCCTGTTCTTAGCTGAAAGGAGTGGCACCCGGTGTGGTCTTCTGCTGCTGTAGCCCATCTGCCTCAAAGTTCCACGTACTGTGCGTTCAGAGATGCTCTTCTGCCCACCTTGGTTGTAACGGGTGGTTATTTGAGTCACTGTTGCCCTTCTATCAGCTCGAACCAGTCTGGCCATTCTCCTCTGACCTCTGGCATCAACAAGGCATTTCCGCCCACAGAACTGCCGCTCACTGGATGTTTTTTCTTTTTCGGACCATTCTCTGTAAACCCTAGAGATGGTTGTGCGTGAAAATCCCAGTAGATCAGCAGTTTCTGAAATACTCAGACCAGCCCTTCTGGCACCAACAATCATGCCACGTTCAAAGTCACTGAAATCACCTTTCTTCCCCATACTGATGCTCGGTTTGAACTGCAGGAGATTGTCTTGACCATGTCTACATGCCTAAATGCACTGAGTTGCCGCCATGTGATTGGCTGTTTAGAAATTAAGTGTTAACGAGCAGTTGGACAGGTGTACCTAATAAAGTGGCCGGTGAGTGTACATACTTTCTATGTCAGAAAAGGTAATGGTAAACTAGCTCCTTGGGTGGCTCTGTCTGCAGTTAAGAAGGTGAGCTCTGAGCCAGTTTTCATATCAAAGGGAAGAAAGAGAGGACACCCAGTTAGGGGCTGAACTAACAAACACCGCAATATGAAAGAATGAAGCATAATGATGAAAAGTGGTCCCTAAGTCCTCCAGCAGTCTAAGCATATAGCAGCGTAACTATAGAGATAGCTCCAGATAAACTAAGACACTCTATAAGTTTTATCAAAAAGAAAAGCCTAACCTTATTCTATTGTGTTCTATTCTATTATGTTTTCTGTTCTGTTCTATCCTGTTCCATTCTACTCTGTTCCGTTCTACTCTGTTATATTTTGTTATTCTATTCTATTCTATTTTATTTGGTTATATTCTATACTATTCTGTTCTTTCTGCTGAATTCTGTTGTATTCTGTTTGCTCTGTTCTATTCTGTTGTGTTCTATTCTGTTCTTTTCCATTCTACTCTGCTCTGCTCTATTCTATCGATTCTATTGTATCATGTTCTGTTCCGTTCTATTGTACTCTGTCTTATCTTATTCTATTCTGTGCTATTCTGTTCTGTTGTTTTTTCATTCTATTCTATTCTATACCATTCTCTTATATTCTATTCCGGAGGTCTTCAACAGGGGGTCCGCGACCCCTAGGGGGTCCACGGAGGTACTGCTTGGGGGTTGAGAAAGTTTTGCTTGATTAGACTTTTTAATATATATATTCCACCGTGCAATATTTTCCACTAATTGAAATGTCTTTAAATACACACTAATATGAATTGAACAGACTGTAGTAAACAGATCAATGGAGGCAGAAGATGTCTTTCATCATCAATGCACACATTCAGCGACACACAGGCGCTCTTTCAATCTGGGCACCGTTTCATTCACAACACCTGTCCCATCAACCAGGAATCCGAATCAGAAATACTCTAATAATCCCAGGGTGAAATTTCTTTCGTTGCATTACTCCATCCATTTTGATAGAACACAATTTCATTGATATATTATATACAATTAGGGGGTCACCCCTGTTCTATTCTGTTGTATTCCATTCTGCTCTGATGTATTCCATTATATTCTGCTCTATTATTATTATTATATCTTATTATTATCTTCTGTTGTGTTACATTGTAAATCCCTTTACAGTCCCACAATGG